TATTCTAATTCTTATGAGATCTGCATTTATATCTGAAAAAGTACATTTTATCAATTTTTTGCAAAAAAAGTTGATGTTTCCCCTTATAAATTTTCCGAAATTGGGTATTTTGGATTTTCTCCTTAAAATGACAGTATTATGTCCATAACTTAGCCAATAATGGCCCGAATATGGAATGCCATACCTCCTTGAGCTTGTTTTATAGTTTCTAATGTGATATGCATTCAATGCTCAAAATGTCAAATTTGTGAAATTTTTCGTAAAAAAGATAATGTTATCCCCTAATCAAAATGTGATGGTTAGTCCCGAATTTCTCCTCAAAATGACTGCATTTTGTCCATAACAAAGCCAATAATGGACCAAAATTCGATTGCCATTCCTCGTTGAGATGGTATTTTAGTTCTTCAAAATCTTCATTTATATCTGAAGATGTAAATTTTAATCAATTCTTAATAAAAATGGATGAAAAAATCAAAAATGCGAAATTTGTCCAAATAGGAAGTTTACGAAAAGTCAAAAAAGTTGGATTATCAAATGTAATACCTTGTTGAACCTTAACAAAAAGTTGAGCTTTATAAATAAGGGCTAGTTTTTTTTTATATACCAGCAATTATGAGGCGTGTTAATGTTTTTGTTTACCTAAAAAAAACGCGTCTAATAAGATTAGTGCAGTTAATCATACAAACTAAACCTGTAATAAGCTTCCCGTGACCGTAATTGTTTCACAGGAAGTACCTGATTCAATTATAGAAAACAACTAACTGGATATGTGGGGGCATCGGATCGGTTAGTGGATTCCCCCCATTGGGAGGTTCTCATGGCTGCCAACTAGATGGAAATCGTTCGAGCGGCCTGTAATTTAAACGAATTCACATCGCATCAATTATGCACATTTGTTGAGCAATTTTCATAATAAATATTCTAATTGGCTTTTAATTATACGAAAAGCGTTTCGTGTTCGAGTCTGGCAAATTGACTAATTGCCGCTTGTAATTGCAATATATTAGATGACGCCTCATTGGCCCGGACTACCAACTACCAACTACCGACTTCGTTGAATTACACTATACTACTTAGCTTCTGGTTGCATATCTACATACGAGTACACCGCGTACATTGAGCTACAAAGTGTAGACGTAGAACCCAGAAATGCAGGCCCCAAATGGCAAACCCATAATTACCTTGACCAACTCGAGGCTGGCACGCAATCCGAGCATTTGTTGGCCTGTCAGGGCGGGGTTATATATTTGGGGGAGGAGCAGGGCTCTGGATCCTACATATATAGCCCAACAATAGCTTCGGCCAGAGTATAATTCAATAACGGCATCAACGATTCAGTTGCGGTCGTCACTAATTGATTGTTTAACCAGCTAAATGTCCAAGGCGGGATTTTCTCCAGCGTTTGAATAATGCATTGCACTGCGGGCAGTGTGGAATGGCGTTTATTTCGAGAGTCAATAGTGGCACAGTGGTGGGAAAATAAAGGAAATATAACTAAGAAATGAGTTTCTTTGTTGCCAATAAGAAATATCAGATCTGAGAATGAGAATGAAAACAGTAAAAGTTTGGCAAATTTTGATTATATATCTTCACTATGTTCAAATCAGATGTTGAGGCAATTTAATTCTGTATTTAAGTTTTATTTGTTAAGTCTTTTTCACTCAAATTTCTTGATAACCTCGCACCACTGTGCCTTGCCAATGAAATGCCAACAATCATACGCAGCGTGGGCGCTCTAGCCTCATCGAACATAAAACAGTAACAACAGACATCAGGTTGTCATAAAGAGTGCATATTTATGTGGCTAATTCGAAATAAAACATAAAACTCACCAAATAATATTAAGAGTCTTTCGAGGGACCCAATAACTGTGCCACAGAGAGTGGCAGAGAAACCGAGATGCATATCAACAATTAGGACGCCCCATGGTGTTGGCCACGAAATCGGGAATTCGTAATGGCCAACTGAGAATTGAGAATTGAGAAATTTGACGCTTTTACGAGCTAAAGGGGCTTGAAGGGAGAAGGCTGGCATCAGCAGCAGCATAATGTCTCTCTTTGATATACCAAATTAAAGCATTCGATATTTGATCGGCTGAGCATATGCTTTGCATATGAAAGAGACGGCGTCTGGCGCCACAGATTCGTGATGAGGACGGCGATCTAACAGTCCACAAAAATAACACCCGGAGAGCCAAACATAATTGAGGCAATTAGAAAACATCAAAATATTGGACTCTGGCTGCAGAAAATTGTTAAATAAATAAAAGCCAAAAAACGAGACGTTGTTGCGGCTCTTAATTTAGCACTTGAGGGCCTAAAGCCGAAGTCAAATGTTTATTCTGTTTACCCTGGGACAAGTCGGGCAGCAGTTGGCAATGACACAGCGGATCTGGAGTGTATATCTAGTGTGGTTAAAGAGCAGGAGACGCCCACCGTCGGATCATTCAATTAAAACGCTTACGAATTATATTATTACGACAAACAAAATGTCTAAGGGCCTGGAAAAGTGATGCCAATCTAGCCGAGCCGCAGGAAGTGCCCAGGTAACAAGAACAATCGTTGGTAAATTACAAGCAATTGGAGTTGCCTGATCGATATCTTTAGGGGTCTCAAAACGCTGGATGTGACGGAAGTGGGGCTAACAAGCGTGGCGCGGAGTGGAGTGGCTGCCAAAAAAGTTCGTCGCCTAAGTCTTTCGTTAGAGAAACGACCAGAAGAACATGGACTTTAAAATTAATTACTTAATTTAACACAACAAGCGGCCAGCGACACCTTCGATGATGTCCAATGATGTCTCGGGCGACAACGGAAAGCACTAAACAGACGTTTCGGGCCAAAAACAAAGAAAAAAGAAAGAAAACCTGTTGAGAACCCAGTCAGCCAGCCAGATAGCCCGACCAAGCCAGCACACATCGCATCTCCCAACGATCCTGGGCCGGAATGAGCGGGCTTAACAGATTAGTTAGCATATCCCATATCAGGGTAATTATTGTTAAATGCGATAACGATCTTGTACAGCGCTGACATTTATTTATTTTCCTTAATTTCGCCGTATTAATCTTCCAGGAAACATTCACATTAAACAGAACACCAAGATATGGCACGTCCCGATCTTGAACCCGGCCAACCTCAGGATGGTCATTAAGGCGGCCCAAAAGGGATTTCGATCTTGGTCTTGACAATTTGCATTATGCTGGCCATCGATCAGCGATCGGTGAAATTCAACCGGACAATAATGAGCAATGTGCGATCAGGGGAGGGGGTCTGATTATTGGATTTAAAGAGAAATCCAAACTCAATTAAAACCGAAAATAACTTCAAGACGAGACACGGCTAATTTAACCAAATTGGATTACTTAATAAACTTTATGGGATATACAACAATAACAACAAGGCTTGTGCGTGGTGCTGGCCATAAAGTGAACGTTATTGTTGTTGTTTCTGTTTCTGTTATTACTATTTCTATATATCTCTCTTTTTTTTTGGGGCGCGCCGCATAACAAACCTTTTGAGGCATTCAAAAATCAGAGAGTGAAGAAAAAAAAGACACACAACTGAGGCAGCCACGAGGCAAAACAAGTTGTACAAACATATGTATGGAGTCTGATATATGTATAACATCATCAACAGCAACAACTTACCAAATTGTGTTTTAATTTCCGAGAATTATCAGCAAGGGATTTCATTCCGATTTCGGTTTTTGGTTTTCGTTACGTTTTTCAGGCCCTTCGTTTTTTGTTTTTTTATTATTATATTTTTTGTTCTACAGAAACATTTTTAGGAGCGATACAGGAAAAGCAGAGCAGGGCAGATAAGCTCCCCAACCGAATCCAATATGCAAGGGGCGTGCCCCAGCCCCATTATTAATTACAGTTGCCTCGCTCGATGAGCCTTGTATCTTGGCCACGGAATCTCAAATCTGGAAGTTTCCATCAAATGTGCGTGCGCCCGCTAAGCAAACAAGACTCGCCATTAGCTGGAGGTCTATATAGACTAGCGATTTCAATCACCGATGGAACATATAATTTGCCCACTCAGATTTATTGCCTTTTTTTTTTTGCAATTGTAAACTTTGTGATTGCAAAGGCCCCCTTTAGAGCTGAGAGGGACCTTTGACAGAGTGCCACAATTTAGTGCTGTTAACAGCTAGTAATTAGACTCGTTATGTCCGTTAATTAGCCATATCAGCCAGGCCAATCGAGTTTGCAGTTTGCCCATTGCAATTAGCCACTGCATATTCATTAGGCCCCCATTCGATATTCGATAGTTGATAGCTGATACTTGATAGTTGATAGCTGATTTGCCGATAACGATAAGATGGTTACGAGTCTCTCAACAATTTTCGCATAAATTTGTGGACCAATAGTCATAAATTTGGCTTTTAAATCATTAGCACACCTCAAGTGAGTCGTTAACCAGTTTTCACATGGCTCTATATGCCACCTCAGTTCCCCTTTTTAAGCCACCACCCCCGCCCCTTTGATCTGGCACGAACTGCGCTCAATTAAATTCTACAATAAAACACGATTTGCATTTTAAATTGTGCAATTAAAATGCTTATGAAATCTATAAGAAATAACGATCGCTAAATGCATTTTATAGTCGCCTCCTTCAGCAATCCCTCTCAGATCTGAGATCCCCTCTGGCTCCCCACCTGTCACCATTCGAGTGGACAGCAACAGCAACAGAAACAGCAACAACAATGTTAAATGTCACACGCTAATTAATTGACGGTGCATAATTTTTCAACTCTGTCACACAGTGGGGCGAACTCAATGAAAAGGGGGGGCGGAGATGCAGATAGGAAAAACAAGGAAAAATGAAGTACTGTTTAAGGAAAGTTGAACAGAGGTGAGAGTAAGTTAGTATCCATAATGTAAATGTTCGTTTTCCAAACATATCAACTTCGATTCTTAAATTCTTAAATCCTATCCAATCTGAAAAGAAAGTTGATAAAGTTATTCCCCCAAATAAATCCCACAATCATTCTCCTTTAGATTTCTTTTCATAATGAATATTTTATATTTTATATGATAATATTTTTGTGTATCTCTTACAATCATGTTTTCTTGGCTTAAAAGTAGTAACTAGCAACTAGGGCTTTAGATTAGACGGGTTTAAATAATATCCAGCTGCAGTTGAGCGACTCTAGAGGTTCGTGCCTAAGACTAAACATAAATAAATGCTAAGATCGTCATACAATATACAAGAATTATACAATAGGTAGTAAATTGAGTGCGATTTGTTCGGGGAGAGAAATTCACTAATTAAAATTAATGCTTGTCATGAATATTTACACGCTTAAACCATTAAATTTGTACAGTTATAGTTGGTGTCTAGCCTAGGCTTCTTTTTTAAGGTTTTTCTTTTTTTAGTATTTTTAAGATATTTTCGAAAGAGAGAGGAAACAGAAAAAACTTTCTTTGAGCTCTACTCAACCTCGTTTCTTCGCAAGGATTTGGCACGGATCTTGAGAGAGGACGATGGATGGATGGAGAGAAGGGTCTCTAATACTTTTCTATGTACACAGTTAGCCTAACGCCTTAAGATCGCTTTAAGAATATATCACAACAAAACAAACTATTTTACTTTCGCTGAAGTTCGACTGGGAACCATCGGAAAACTGGAACTGGACTTTTGCTCTTTTGCCAGGATAAGGAACTCACGGACCACCACAGGATTTCTCCTCCTGTATATCTCTTCTTGCTTAGTGACTGGCGTCCAGCTCGTGCTCCTCGTCGCTGGGGCATTCATCCATTTCCATGTCGATGAGCTCGTCGTCATCCTCATCGCCACTACCGTTGTGCATATTCCGTTGCGATCCATCGCCACCCTTCTCATCCTCCTGCTGCATCCGCTTGTGCTTGGTGCGGCGGTTCTGGAACCACACCTTCACCTGCGTCTCGGAGAGATTGAGGGTCTGGGCCAGGGCCTTGCGTTCTGCCCCCACCACATACTGGTTGCTCTCGAAGGCGTGCTCCAGCTTCAGCAGCTGCGACGGCGAGAAGGCGGTACGAATGCGTTTTGGCTTGCGGAACGGTGGCACCAGAAAACCTTGAAAAGAGCAAAAAAGAAAGGGTTTTGGTTAGTCATCGGTTTGCGATTTCGAAGGAGATTGAGTTTAACAGAGGTACTAGCCAACTACTAGTAACAGCTTTTCTATAATCTCTCTCTGATTTTGTATTTTAAATTCATAATCTAAAGATACTTACTTCCAGGGAATCGGTGTGGGAAGATCCTTCCATGGCGGCTGAGTAGCCATGGGTACAGCTGGTAGCTATCTCTGGCCATGCCTGGATTCGGCATAAACTGAGCGGCATGGGGTGGCAGACCAGCGGCAGCAGCGGCGGCAGCAGCGGGACCAAGAACATGTCCCGCTTGCAGGGCGGCGGCCATTTGGAACTGGGCAGCGGCAATGAGATGAGGATTATGCTGGGGCGGCAATTCTGGCGGAGCGTTGATGTATGGCGGTAAGGCCTTAATATCCGGCAAGCCAGGTTGTCCTTGTGGCATCGGTGGTCCCCCTGGTCCCATGGGGAATGGTCGAACAAGTCCAGCCGGTGGCATACCCGGCATCATCATAGGTCCTGCGCCTCCGGGATGCATCATTGCGGGCTTTGGATAGTTTGGAGGCTGAGGTTGTTGTTGCTGCGGAGGCGTGGCATGCGGACTACTGATAAGCAAAGTGGGCGAAGACGATGGCTGCGACGATTGCGGGCTCACGGACTTCGGAGGTGTATGAGGAGGCTGGATGCGCTGGGCGGGATTCTCCGCCTGCTCTATAGCAGGTCTTTCCGGCGATCGTTCCCGCTTAAGAGAGACTGGAATTTGGGGCTGCTCCGTTTCGGGGGAGAGACGTGTCTGCAGCGGACTCAATCCGCTGGCGATGGCTGCATTGTGGTGCAATCGCTGGAGCAGCTCCTGGATATCCTGATGGCTCTTGGGTGTGCCAGGATGCTGTTGTTGTTGTTGCTGATGTTGCTGCTGTTGCATGAGAAGGTGTTGGTGCAAGACATGTTGCTGGGCGGGCGAAAGATGCGGATGCGGATGTGCTGGCTGCAAAAGCTGCTGGGGCTGCTGGGCATGTGGATGAGGGTAGGGCAAGCCATGGGCAGGAGGAGCCATAAGATGGTGGGGAGGTGAGCCGGGTATCAGAGTTAACGTAGCTGGCGGCGTTTGAGGTGGTGAGCCGGGAACATTACGTTCGCCGGACGGCGGACTTTGGGGGCCGGTTAGCTCCGGCGTTGAATTGCCGGCGGCAGTGCTGACATCATTGCCCACAATGGACTCGATGCTGAAACCGATCTTCTGCTTGGGCGTGGGCATCATGACGGCAGCAGCGGCGGTGGGAACCGGCGGAATCATCTTAGTCATAAATACGGCGGTTAGTTCGGCTATGTTGGCGGCTTTTCTTGTGGGCTTAAACGCGATTGTTTTGTTTTGTAATCCTCTTGGAAGTCCTTGTGTTCTTTAGGTTAACTCTTAATATTTTTTAAATATTTTTTACACTAAGCGACGCATTGGAAACGCTTTAATATATGTATATATATATTAACTATATAATCACACACACACTCGAGGTCTAAAGACTTTATACTTTACTAGCGATCGACGCGCTCGTTTTTGTCGGAAGACGAGGAATATGGACGTGTGCTCTCGACGACGTTCGATGTCTGAATAAATCCGGAGAGAACCCCGACACCACCAAGTGTGCGCCGCTCGAATGCCGACGATGAGAGCTGTGAGGGAGAGTTGCTTTCGAGGTATTGGAAAATCGCCCTCTCTCGCGCGCAGGCCAAGCTAGAAACCAGTTTATCCGTTGGTCGAAACGGAACGGGAAACATACTGCTCTATAGCCATCTTTTTCATCCCTTCTTTGTGGATTGTATCTACCCCAGATACATATATATCTGCCTGGGAGCGAGTGAAATGGCTGGCATTCGATGGGCGGTACCAATTTAATGCGCTGCCTTTACCTCTCACGAATTTTCTGCATATGGCTTCCGTTCGCCTTTAAAACAGTCAGTAGTAGTTGTTGTTGTTGTTGTTACTGTAGTTGCTGCTGCTGCTGGTGCTGCTGCTCTTGGCCTTTGTGTAATTTGGCTTAAACTGCCATTCATAGTTTTTGTTTTTGCGGTTGCATTTCTGGGCCGGAACGAGCGCTAAATGGAAATCTAATGCCAGGTGGCAAAATGTCTCTGTTTGCGGGCTCTCATCAAATTTGCAGAAAGTTCGAAAAGGGTTTTCGAGGCTTACGGGGCTTTATCCCTTTTTTAAATATTTCCCTTGTTCTAAGGGAATTTACTATGTGGATTTCTTGTTGTGCAAATTTATGGTTTAGTTTACGATTTGTTAGGTTTTTTCTTCCGTAAGTCTGGAATACTGGAATTAGCAATGGTTTTACAAACTAAATGGCTTAACAAAGATGAAATAAAAGTTATAATATTTGTTCTGTTAAACAAATTGCTTTTGTTCTTTATGAGTTTATGAGGCAAAAGTAGTTTATCAACAGCCATATAATGTCTATAAATTTCTCATAATTTATTTTCTTGACTTATAAAAAGCACTTACTAGTTATTATGGCATTTGCTACTGGGATTATAAAGAGTAATTAAGCATAATCCTGTAATTTTATATAAATATTTTCTTAAGAAAAGCTTTAACTTAGTTTTCCAAGCTGATCTATATAAAAAATATCCAATCCAATTAAGAATTCCACACCACGAATGCACTCCAATTTGGTTGTTCAAATAAATCATCCTCGAATTTCGATTTTGGACAGTTTTATGAAATGTGCTACCGGGTTTATTTTTCGCTGCGATTTAGATGTTAATTTTCGGACATTACTTGGTTTTTTGGCACACGACAAAGTTTGCATAATTTATGTAGTGACCGAATCGCAATTCCGAATCTAAATCAGAGCAGGTTCATCAATGGCCGAGACGTGCCAAAAGCCTCACCCCAACCCCTCGGCTAACTCCATAAGTTTTCCTATCAAATTCCAAAGCTTTTTGTTTTCGCGTTGAGCAAACAATATTTGGTAGTGTTAATCTAACACTTGCTTATCAGCTAGAGCCTCGTCGCTGGACTTGAAAGATTTATGGCCTGCGAATGGCAACAACAAGTCGTGTATTAGATTAAAATCTATCAAATTTTTATGGCCACTAATTAAGCCACGCATATTTACACATCGCTTTCGATTCGATTCGATTCGGTGCGGTGCGGTGCGAGACATAAACAACTTTCGAGTCCATTAAAGCGTAATTATGTTGACTAATGGATTTTGATTACAAGGCGAAATGCTGTCGAAAGTTCAACGATTTTTGCTGAGTCGCTTTGATTGGCGGTCTAATGTGCAAAACGTGTGTGTAGCTAATTTGGGATTTGAGTTTTTGATTTAGTTTTGATTTTGTGAAAGTCTTAAATGCATATTTGGGAAAGTAACTAGAGTTACTTGTAGTTTTCTTAGTATTTTCGGTTTTTTAAGTTAATTAAATAATAAAAGTGTCTGGCTTTAGATTATGACTCTTTTCATCACTTTCAACTTCATTAATCAGTGTTTAAGCTACCTTTTCTAATCAACTTATATTACAATATTACCCATAAGTCCATTTCTTTGAATTTATCATAATTAAGTTAACGAAAAACCAAATTTACCTTATATTTTTGGTAATTTCACACGCCCACCGAGGCGAGGACCTCTCCGCAGGAGCTCCAGGATGTTAAGGACCTGCAGCCATCACAATCGTGTTGCTAATGAGCGAATAAAGATATCCGTAGGCCGCAGGACCAGCGGCAGTCAAGTGACCAAGTGTGCAGTTGACCCCCCGCCAGGGTTCGCAAAACGAAACGAAAAACCATAAAAAATGCAATACTACTAGTTCGAGGGGAGGGGTAAAACAAAGGGCACAAATGCATTTATTAGATGGAAATAAAGAGGAAGACAATGCAGCAGCCCGAAAGGTGTCAAAATCAACAATTTCCAGCCTGCAAACAATTCCACAGAAACCGAGGCACAGCGTGATGCAATTTCACCTATTCGAACCTTCCTCCATCCAAAGGCAATCCAATTCCCAATCCCAGTTCAGCTGAAAATTGGAAAGAGAAAAAACAGCAGTTTCACTTTTTTGTCTAGTTTTTTCTCTATTTTTTTTCTGGCTGGGAAAACAATGAAAAACGTGGCAAATTTCCCTTTGTTCAATTCGATGGCCAGAAATTGTTGAGTAGCAACAAAACAAGACAACAGAAGACGAGAAAAATTGACTTTAATGATGATGAGTTGGCGTTTAGAGTGTGCGTTTTGGATTCATTTGAATTGAGTGTGTTTTCAGACCCATTTTCTCGGATATATATATACCTTGTTTTTGGCACAAACTCTGGGGAAATCTCTCTGGGGGAGCCCTAACGTTTAAATGTAATTAATTTCTGGCAACTCGTTGGAGGGACAAGCGCCATCGCTAGCTGCGGTTCCCGGAAAACCATCGATCGATTTCACAGTTCCACGTTATTTTTTCATAATTTTTCCCTAAAACGATCTACCGATAATTTGGGCGCTTGTAAATCCACGCGACCCTAGAAATTATGATGGATCGACAGCGACTTTTGTGGCCACATTTTCACGCTTTTCTTTTGAGGGGAAAACTCGAATTGGTAGCCACTGACAGGAGCCGGAGGGAGAGGGAGGCGTGTCAGTCTTAAGAACATCAAACAACTGGACTGTGATGAGCCTGCCGTTTTCCAGGAAAACCGAAAAATTCAAGAGGAGCCTCCAAATCCCATTTAGGAGAGTGAAAGAAAAGGGTGCACCAGACCGAAGGATCGGATCATTTGAAATTTCAGGCACGATATATCGGAGCCAATCAAGTTGGGAATATATATACATTATATTCCGAATTACCACAAAGCCGTAAAATCATATTAAAACACAATTTCTGGTCCACAACTGCGGTAGCATGGCCGAGACCATAAAACATTTATATCTAATCCTTGACAATCATAAAAATTACACAAACGACAACGATACAGCGCAGGGAAAATCTAAAAATCTGACAAAGGCCAAGTGCCAGCGGCAAGAGAAAATGTTTAAAATGTCGGAAAAGTGCTCGAGAAAAATAACAAAGGGCGAGCCAGCGCGGAGAAAGCGAATAAACAGTAGTCAGGGAAATGTCATAAAAATGTCTAACTCCCTCTTGGAACCTCCTCATCCCCCTACAACTATGCACTGTAGGAAAAGTCTTTGTGTATCCTTTTAGTCAGTTGAATATATTCAAAAATTTTGCATTTTCTTTTAAATTATTATTAAATAACAAGAAAGCACGTTTTTCTAGATGGAGCTGCTTGATACTAAATCATATTCAAGGCTATTAACATTCGATCTGAGTACATCATTTTTTTCTCTGCATCTCCTTCGCCTAGTACGTGTGTGCAAAACATTGGAAAATAGTGGAAAACCATCCCAGATTCGAGGCATTTTTATGACACTTTCCGTAACGGGGCAGTCGAGCGTGGCCAGCAAGCAGGAGGACAGACAGACAATCCTTTGACTCAACTAGCAACTAGCTGAGGACATAAAAAATATAGTAGTTGCCGAAATAAAATCAACGTAATGTTTATGACTTTTCACCGGCACCGCTCACTCCCCTGTTCCTGATTGCCCTCCTACTTTCTGACCTGGCCGGTTGACACTTTCGTTTTGGTAATATTTTGGCTGACAGGCACTTTTTAGTTCGTGTGTCATTATCGTTTTGCCCAAAATCCAGATAGTCGAGCGGGATTTATGAGCAGGCGGCGGGGTACGATTAGATCGGAGAGATATAAGGAACCTTTATGGAGTAAGGTTGTTAGATTTAGTTGGAGTTGATAGAGATGGTCGAGGAAAGGAGAAAAACTATTCCTTGGCATGCACTTTTATGAAGATGTCAAGACTTTTGCTATCGAAATGAAAACCTTAACTGAATATTTGGTCTTTAAATGAAGATTCCAATTTAAGACCAACTTTCTAACAAATTATTAAAAATCCTGTTAAAAACTTGTAAAAAGTCAATAGAAATGTTGTAAGTCTCCTAGTTAGTTACCAATTTTTATGGCACCATTAAAATGTACAACTTAGGTTAATCTAAATACCTTTAAAATTCTCCTAAGACACATCTTTATCTTTATCCTTAATTATTCCGCTGCTAAATAGATTCCCAAGCTGAAATGCCATAGGACCGTGGCTAAACAAATTCGAAATCCCCGAGATCATCTTATAACCGCTTGAGTGAACCCCAGAGACCTTTAAGCCGCCTTCAGCAAGTACCGCCCTCTTGGTATTCCACACCTCACCATCTCCATATCACACATATGCCTCCCCTATCAACTTGATGGCCAAACCAATTACTCTTCTCATCCTTATCGCAGATCTTTCCCCCTAGCCTTGCCCCCAACCCGAAACGAAATATACATAAAATATACTTCTCCCCCCGAAGAAAATGTTTCCCCCTTGGCAAACACTTTATAAATTACACGCCCACACACTTGTCGACTGCCCCATTCCTTTGGCTAACACCCCCTGTCCCTGCCCCTGCCCTGGCCATATCGAAACTAATGATGACAGCCAATAAAAAATTCCAACAAATGTGTAAATTTGTAAAAATGCATGAAAAACGAAAACAAAAAGAGGAAAATTTCATAAAAATGTAAATTTTGTTGGGATATAGGGATATGCGGACATGGTCG